TAGGATATGAGAAATTGTCGAATGGCATTTGTATTATATGAGWAATTGTTGGATGGACATAATACGAATAAGGGGAATTATTGATCAGCGAGAAAGAAAAGAAGATGGGAGTTAAATAAAAGCCCAGTCACTTGGGTAAGTCACTTGGTAACGCTTTGCTTTGCATTTTCTTGCACTTGCTTCTGCGTTTCCATTTTGAGCTTGTAAACTAGTTCATTTGTGGCTGCATTTGCAATGCTCATGTTACAATGCTTATTTATAGCTATTTTCAAACCTGTTCAGGAAAAGTTGTATTCTTAAGTTCAAAATCTGATTCTGCATAAGTGATGATGGTCTTTAAGGATCTTCTCAGACACTCTTCGCTAAACGCCTAAGATAATACCAAAAATACTATTTATTTGAATTATTAATATAACTCCTTTATGACTTGTTAGTATACTCACATGAGATGTTCCTACAAGGGTTGATAGTGACATTGTAACTTGCATCTTGACACGAGCAAAATTCTAAAACAAAAGATTTCATTACTAGTATTAGCCAAGATATTTGGCACTGGTCGAATCCAATATGTACAAATCAGTCAAACTTACAGCAAGGCATTTTAAATACAAAAGTTCCGGCTCTAACACAGACTATTGACAAAGAAGTACCTTGACATTTTGATCTACATGTATTGATGGCCATCATTTTGAATTATGCCGATAGGAAAAAAAGTACATATTATGATATAAGAGTTATATAGAGGATATTACATGGGCGCGCGGAGATACGGATTTTATCTTCSAGTGTTATAAAGATCTCTCACGAGTGAGCGTAGCAAACGAGTTAGAGATTTTCAACACGAGAAGACAAAATTCGTATTTSCWAGCGAACATGTAATAYTCTATTTATCATATAATTGTATATGAAAGCAAATTTTGCCGTAAAATGGCTTTTTTCTTACTTTCACTATATATAGAAACCTCGAATGTGATATTTTCACTAGTGAAAATATCAAGTTTACGAAATGGAGAAATATAGGTATTTCATAGATAATTATATGATAAAGAGTAAACCTACATCGGCATCTGATTATGATTTTCATACAATTGAAGTTTTATAACATTCGTGATAAAWGTACTATTGGTATCCCATCATTTYTAAAATCAATAGAATTCAAGATGGCGGCCAAATCTATTAAAACGTCTAKATCAATGTACTTTTGTTTTTCAACGTCTAYTTCATTAAGAAATTTGCTTTCAACTTACCACTCCTCTGTTCTGTTCAAAGTTTTGCCTCATTAAAAGATAGAGCGATGCGCTGGCCTGGGAACGAACATTCCCAATCGATGAGCTGCAATGCGTAAGCAGACGAGAGCAAAGATCTGCACATAATTCTGTCTCTTCTTCAAACAACAGCTCAGGAAACTARAAAACAAAGAACTTATCAACAACTTATGCAATTTTCAATTAGTTGTACTGGTTGGGTTTGCAACAATTCATTTTGCCTCAAAAAGGGTTATTGGACGGTAAAGAATGGGTATTAGTGAACAAGCGATACGATTGGRTAATGACAAGTTACGTGTGAAGAATTTATTATTTGCGAAAAACTTAATCAACTCCTTAGATTGCATTCATGATACAACTAAATGTCTCTTACGTCATGAAATTTTCATTTAACAATTTCCATTCACAATTTTGCGACAACATTTTTCAAATGTTTACATACAGTCAGTTCTTGCTTTGTGGACTCCCCAATGTCATCAACACCCCGATACGGGTACCCGATATTACGGACACCCGGATATTACGCATATCTTGATATCACCRACATCCCCATTTTATGGAAATCTCGATATTACGGACATCTCGATATCACGACCACCCCGATATCACAGAGACCCGATTACCGATAATCGCCCCATTTACAGATCCTGTTGGGGATCGAGATCCTCCAAGGGTTGAGACAGTAAACCAATGGTTTAAGAATCATTATCAGAATATGAAGAGAAGTAGTTGTTTGCCATGCCTTGTGTAATAATAATAATTTTGGTGAAATACTTCTTAAGGCATA